GTAGAAAAATGTTAAATTTCCTACGATTCTTTTTTGGAGGTAGAGGAGAAGGTAGATGGAGATGTTCTAAGAATAGAAGATTGAATGTGAATATTAAGAAGCTTTAGTGGTTGGTGGAACTTTAAAAAAAAAACTCTATTTTAGAAAACACAGTTTCTCTTTTCCTTGTTATAAAGCTATCACCAGATGTCTATTCCCAGGCCAGGTAAGGGTCATCAAGGAGTACTTGGAGGGGGTTTGTTTCAAAAGAACCAAAATGAAACATGCAAGAAGAAAGCAGTTAAACAAGGGAAAATTATGAATTCAGGGTTAAGTATGAGAGCCTTCCATTTACTGACGCAATGTTACCATCATGTGACGGCTCCATCTAACCATCATCTCTCTTCCATTTCTTCTTTGTACAATCCAGCATTTGCTGGTATAGCAGCAGTAGCTATCATTTATTTATTGTTTATTATGAGGCACTCATGCTACCACGTGCTTTCATTGTATCACCTCAGTTGATTCTCTGATCAATCCCACGTGCAAAATACTATTATTTTCCACGTTTTCTAGATAAGGAATTTGAGCTTCAGAGTGGAGAAGTGGCTTGCCCCGAGTCACACAGTGAGTAAGAAGGATTCAAACCAGGGGATGTCAGCACCAGAGGCCAACCTCATAACCATTACCTCCCACCACCATTTCAGCGCAAGACCACACAGGTCAGGACTGTTTATGTGACACTGGGAAGACACTGCACAGCTAACTGCCATTCAGCACCAAACAACACTCACTGACGGATATTCTAGATATGAGTAAGCTACGCTCACTATTATTCTTATTTGTAACAATGCATCTCAGTAACAAGAAAGAAATTATCATTTATTTTTTTTCAACAATCATATAAACACAATAAAACAATAGAGACATGACTTCAAAAATATACAATGCATTTATGAACCCAATAGATTGAGCTCACAGATAGATCTGATAGATCACACACACATGCAAATAAATCTTAGTACAAATTTATATATGTCTTTCCAGGTACATGTTCTCTCTTCTATTTTACATCAACTTCTCAGTGAAGCTTCTCTTAATTTTTAGGATAGATGAAAATAATTGAATTGCATATTATGGATGTGGCTGAATTCAGGACTATCTCTATTGCTTTCTGATTGCTAGGTTCTTGTTTATTTTACCTGATCAGCAGAACACGCATTACTTTAAGCAGGCAGAACTGAAGGACAAAAAACAAATGCCTCTATCTTACCTGTTTAAGAGCCTTTTTGGTGTGTTGCTGAAAGGAAGACACTAACTTGCTTTGCACGGCTGTGTTAGTAAGGCTTGAATCTCGAGTGGAAGATGCTTCATCAGTTACCTGCTTCGAACAAACTAGAAACGGAGAGAGATAATGATATTACTAATTTGAATTCCTTTTTTTATATCCACTGTAATTACTCACTTGGAGCATTTCTCCAACTGAAAATGGATACCTAAAATAAAGCATAGTAAAAAGAAGAGTATCTAGATTTGAAGAGAAGGAATCATTTAATAACTGTGGCCACAGTTCCATTTAATCTTTTTAGTCTTTGATATCCTTACATATTAATTGATGGTAATTTCTACATCATGGAACTATTGTATATACATAAAATAGCATAATATCTGCCTTAAGAGTTGTAAGTCAACAGATATTATCTGGATCTGAATATGGAGAATGGCAATGCACAGTATTCTGAAGAAACAATCTAAATTAATGAAATTGTTTTAAATCTATCCAGCCTCACAGGTATTATGACTCTTCTATTTAACAGCCCTCTCTCTATAGCATGAAGGACCTACTGGGACATGTTTATCTTCTCCTCTGGGGCTGAGTCACATAGCATGGAGAAGGAAAAATGAAATCTGAGATGCTTGTTGCCAACTCAACACAATTATTTTCAAGAAAATGGTGCTCTCCACAGATTACAATATAATCTGCCCATTTTTATCAGAGTCAGGTTTTCCTGTTGTCTGTTCTATACAAGACATTTTACTCTTAAAGGCTGCTTTTTAGGGGAATCAATGTCTCACCGACTTGGATGACCAAGGAGAGCCCACAGATAATTTCTGCTCTATGAAACCCACGTTGGAGCTAGAACCCCACCTTCAGTTCTCAAACTGACAGACTTCTGAGTCCTCATCCGAGTCCTCTTTTAACACTGGAGCAGTTTGGGCAGGAACACAGATGTAGGCCCTTTTCTGTGTACTCCAGGGGAGGAGTTATTGGAAAATCAGAGTGAGGAGGTACTATGATTAGCAGCAGATGGAGGCATATGTCAAAGGCATGAGGCAAGAGGAAGCTAGATGGAAGAAAATAATTCAAGAACATATTGTAAGAGCTCAAAACATAGCTTTTTAAGGGGATCAGGGTTAACCCTAATTTAAGAAATTTTTTTAGGTAATGGTAACTCAGGAGGATTCTGACCTGAGTTTCAAAGAAAAGGAGAGGGGTTAAAACTATCGCAGTCAAAAATGGATGCATACACACAGCATTGAAAACACTCAGGTTGCTTTTGATAGACTCAAGCTTATCTTGCCCAGAAATGAACATGAGTTCATGAGAGAGAATTTTAGGGAAAAAAGAGTTAATCAATTTTGTTTTAATATAGAAAGTAATCAGAAAGCCCAATGAACAGGTCAAGGAAAATAAAATAATTGCTAGTTATTGATACCAGGTACTTCCCATATGTGACCTCATTTAATCCTTGCAGGTTTCTTGCAAGATAAAAAGGTACTGTCTCCCTATTGGAGGGAGAAAACTAGAGCTCAGAAAGGCTAAATAACTTGCACGTGGTCACACAGCCAATCAAACTGCAGAGCTGGGATCTAAGGCCAGCCCAGCCTAGTTCCAAAGACCATGATTTTTCCACTTAAAATATTTGGCCTCAAAAGTCAAGATCTGATGCAGAAAATTCCATTTCTACAGAAGCGTAATTTAGTTGCATGATGGTGGAGATATTGAAACAAGAAGTTAATGGGGTAGGGGAGGACAAGTCATCGGCCCCTGACGTGACACAAAATTGAGAATTGCAGGTGAGAGCAATAGGCCCAGGAAATATTACTGTCCAAGTAGCAAAAAGATTTGCAGATGAATATAGTGAGAGAGGTTTTGAGTTAAAGATCAGGTGACTTTTCTTTTTTACTTGATACAATATGACATTTTTTCCTTAAGTCAGTCTAAATGTTCTAGTTAAGAAATATTTTGTAATCTTGCTTGCATAAACTGTGTTTCCTAGGCTTCTCCCCTTGAAACCATCACTAAAGAAATCTGTAACACTTCACCAAGCTTACTTACCAAGAAATATTAGAAATAATAGTCAGTTTATGTTCTAAAGATAAATCTATTGTGTATACTGATTATACACATGGCCTTTTCGATGTTCTGAAGTCCCTATGAAGTGTGACAAACTTGGGAGGTGACAGAAAGGTGGCAGATGGGACATATGATCCCAACTGAATAGACCTAATGGAAGCCCAGCCAAAGTCAAGGGCCTTAGCAAATATGTTTTACTACTTTCACATTGTTAGAGTAGCATTTCCGCCTATAAAATTGGAAACTTACTGATTAGTTAGGCTAAAAGGAGACTCAAACACAGTCCATGGGTATTAGAGAATTTATGGAAAATACGAGAATGCTTCTGTACACTGGACATCTAAATTCAAATGCACTACCAATTTGCTTAGAAAATGGTATCATTCATAAGTCTTTCAAAGGCAAACTTCAACACAGCAGGATCAAATAATAACAAATTCTGACCCAGTGGATATATAATTAAAGTCTTACATCCCTTTTATTTTCTGATTGCTGCGAGAAGCATTACACAATCTGCTGTCCTTCCTAAAGATAATAGCTATTTAGCTCACTATTTGCTCTATTTCTCTCTGACCTAGGAAACCATCAGATATCAGGATACCTATCAGTATCAGCATATATGCTGTATATTTTGATTTAAATTTACTGGTTGCACTCTGTTGATAAAGATTCACATGCGTTCATATATGTTGTTTCCAAAAGAAACATTCTGTGCCATTTAGAGCTCAGAACTTCAGAGGGAGGGCTGGACAACAGAGTTGAAACAGCATTAAGGAATACTATGAAGTTCATTCTCAAAATGATTCACCTTTGTTTACCCAACTTTATTTGTTTAATCTTCAACTCCAATCTAGGCCCAAGTAAAGCATCCTGAATAATCCTGTACTAGGTAGTCGTTTTTCTCCATGATCTCTCTGGAACTTGGTCCTGATGCTTACTTCTCTCCAGATAAACCATTTTCCCTAATTATTTACTTCTGCTACAATAACTATAGAACCTTAAAGAAAATCAAAATGTAATAGAAAATAAAATACACAAGCAATTGCTCCTTTGGAATTGAAAGTATTATTTTTAAGGAAAAAAATCAAGGAAGAAAAAAAATCATCCATAGGCTCTAAGCAGTGTGCCTGTACACATTTTTAAGTACTGACAAATATGGACCTTTTCTATGGGATCTGATTTGCTGTTATTCGGTCTTTTTCCATGCATATGACATAAGGACGGCTGAATCTAAAAACAGGCATTCACTGCACAGTTGGATTGTGCAAGTTCATGCAGATTCACATTCGAACAAAACCAACATTTTTGCTTTTACTTATTCTTGAAGCTTTCTTAATAATAGATGTGATAAATAAATAATGAAGGGCTCATTTTAAACAGTTGCCTGAATACTTATCTAATGGACTTGAGTTTGGCCTCTGAAATACAAGCCGAAGAAAAATTAATGCTAAAGAAAGAATCAGGTTAAATCCCCTGCATGTAAAATTACAACAGGAGCCAAGAAACTGAAGAAATTAGGACAGATGTTTTATCCAATAAATATCAAACACTGACATGCAGCTTAGAAAGTGATATCTTCTTGGCATTCGGAACAAAATGGGAGGCGTTTTTTCTAAGTGTGCACTGGCATGATCACAATACTTATGCCAGAACTTTATACCTCGAAACCCCAATAGAGAGTCTGCCCTTTTCATAAGTGGACAAACTGAAAATGAGGAAACAAAAATGAGATGACTAGTTCTCCCTAGAACTTTTATCATTCAACATTTTTAAAATATGTGTCAAAGTGCTATTTCTGTCTATATTTTGCTTGTCTGTCAAGATTGGGCAAACCAAAAACATAGTGAGAAGCTAATCCGGGGGTTTTAAATCTGCCTCTCATCTACCTCTACTCTCACTCACACCCCCAGACGCCTCCCTTGAAATATTCTATTTAGAAGATCTGGGAGCAAAGGGAGGTGGAAGGGGATAGGTAACCATGAGACAGCCTTGAAGGCCAGAGAACTGGTGACTGTGTTTCAGCAAAACTGTGGATTTCAGTCTCTTAGTGTCTCTGAGTTGTCTCTCTTTCTCCTCCTTTTTATTTACTATTCAGCTTGAAAACACTATTGAACTAGAAAATGTGGGTTAGAGCTCATGTTTTTAAAGTTTAATGCTAAAGAGCAGATATGGGTGGCATTCCCTCCTAATCGAATTACTAATCCACTGACAGGTGTCCAAGGGGACACAATTCTAACTTTCACCTATAACCTAAGATACAAGGAAGGGAGAATCAGAACGCAAACAC